TTGTATCTTATTTTATTGAAGAAGTTGACTGTGATTCTTATGGTCACATGCTGTACTTGTAGACCTGTTTTGGAGTCCTATGTATTTCATGGCCTTGGTGACTCAGTTTGCTTATTTTGACTGTTTCCCAAAATTATAATTTGGACTGAAAATACTTTTATAAATTTATTTAATATTACCAAGTTTTCCTGTTTTAAAAATGCCTGATGTTTGCTATATCGAGAGCTATAAAAAATCTGAAATTATTTTTGATGTCCTTGCAAATCTTTGAGATTTTAGACTTATCGCCTGAAATTATGTTCCTTCGGTGAAAACATTTGCATTGTTTCAGATAAAGTACAGTTGTTTGTAACATGCAAACTGGACATGAGATATTGCTTTGCAGTAGTTACTAATCTGCTGATGAATGATTCTTGTAGAGATTGGAAGGGAATGGCGTAGGCTGCAAACTGAATATAATGAGTTTCAAAAATGTAAGCAATTTAAAATACTGCTTGGATGTGAATTAAAATATTCAGAAGCCACAGAGTTTCTCAATCTTGATCCTTTTTAGCCATCCATAATGCTGTCATCGCAGAAGTGTTTCCTAGAGTTTCTGGACCGCAAAAAACTAGGATAACTGTGTAGATGAAACACCAATGCTTATAAATTGCAAAAGGTGTACTCTGACTGTGGTTTTGATTGGCTTGCAGAGGAGTGTTTGGTTTGCAGGCTCTACAGTGCCTGTATTTGAGCAGCAAGCTTGTCCCAGTTGTGTTGTGAGATTTATGAATAGTGTAGAATCCCTTCACTGAGACTTAAGGTGATGCATTTTGCCTTGTGTTTTGCTGTAGGATGGGAACAAGCACATAGCTTAGGAGTCTTAGCTGATGGGCATCAACTTATTAAGTCAAGTTTTGTTTGTATGTCTGTATTTTGAGGCATTTCATTGGGAATGTGTGCCACCTAAATGATAACTCTAAAGAGTGAGACTTTTCAATTGAGAAATTGTGATTGTGAGATAAACTTGTCATAGGAAAGAGGTCAGAAGGTACTGAAAAAACCCTGCATATGTTAATGAGGGTTTGGAAATCCCAGAATTTTGTGAGTTTTTTCCCAAAATAAGTGCATCCACCCTAAAATTGTACTAAATCAGGTTTTAGAGAGGCAGCTGTCACCCGGCGTATCTTGCTATACGAATGGGCTCTACCATGTTGGAGATTCGTGTCTCAAGAACTTTTGTTAGGGTATAGATACATGCCTTCTTATCTCACTGGTAACAGAAGTAGTAGTGTCTGCCTCTTTCTTCAGTTTAACAGTCTGTCCATTTTCTGTGGTCTTCACAGGCTCATGTGGTGACTTCTATCTGTTTGGGTCAAAATAGCCCTTTTTAGCAGAGACCAGCAACTTTGCATTTTAAGCTCACTTGCCATTCTTTGCGAGTGAAAAGCAGGATGACTGCTTGGGGCAAATGATGGACAATCATGCATTTACCCACTCAGTTCTATCATGTGCTTCTTTGAGCTGTTTTTGAGAGAAACTTGAGGCTTTTCGAGTTTGAGGGATGTGGTGTAAGGGGTCAAGTTCATTCCCAGGTGATTAGAATTCACATTGCGAAAATTCCTTTTATATTTTGTCTGAATGCTGTGATGTTTGATGTATAATGTTATAGGTGTACCATGTTCCATTTTGGAGAGTTTTGTTTTGCAGAGGAAAAACAAAGGAAGCTGGAACTGAGTGAAAGAACAGGACTTGTTCAAGTTACATCTGTTTTTATTGTGTGATACGCCAACTCAGGAGTCTTTATGTCATAGGACCAAAGAATACCCAAATGTTATATGATAACCTAAAAAATTGTTCCCCAGGCGCTGATAAAATGGTTGTTTTGTGATGAGAAGGTTCATAGTATCGGATAAGCATGAAATCTCCCTTTCCTGGCCTTTAGTATTGGTACTTCAAAGGACTATATAGCTATCTGCCATGTCTGCACTGTCATGGGCATCCACTGAGAAAGACAGCAAATGGACCAACTTGTTATTTGCCAAGGTATTTCTGTATGATCCGAGCATCTGCCTTCTGTGTGTATGTGAGGTTGGCTCATTGTCCACAGGCAACCATGAGTGTAACCTGCTAATACTATTTTGGGACCAGGATGGTACTATTACTGCAAAGAGAAGAGAATTCATCTCAAATGTGTGCAGATTTGGGCATCACTTGGTCTGTTCAGCCTGGAGGAGACTGAGGGGTCATCGCAGTTACAACTTCCTCATGAGCACCAAGCCTGACAGAGTTCAAGAAGCGTTTGGACAACACTCTCAGGCATATGGTGTGATACTTGGGGCTGGCCTGTGCAGTGCTAGGAGTTGGACATTATGATCCTTGGGAGTCCCTTTCAACTAAGGAAACTACGATTTTCAAAAAAACCTTGATCACTTCTTAACCACTCTCTAAGTAACATCTCTGTAACGTATCTTTTTTTTCCTTTATTCCTCTGTGCATTCATGAATTGTTTCTTTGGAAAATAAATTAATTGTGTGTATTAATATCTTCTGTGTTACTGTTTTCAGCACATCATAGTGAATAAATATTATATCCTTAGCCCAGTAGGCAATAACGACCGTTAACCTGATTGTTAACTGATGGGTCTCACATGGAATGCTGAATGCATGCTCACTCCAAAATGGCAGAATCTGGCTCTCCTTTTTACTGTAATAAAGCTGCTTCTGTTTGCAGCACTGTGTTGCTGGGAAACTGCAGCTAATTTTTATGGCGCATGTCAGTAGTACTGATTCAAATTATACATTTCATTGAGTAGCTCTTATTTTTGTTTGTAAACTGCCTTCTCTAAGGGGAGAGAATTTTTTTGTTGTTGTTCTGTGGACAACAGTATCTATACCAGAGAATATGACTGAATCTGGAACAAAAGCTCAGATTGTTCTCTTGATAACATCATTGTACTTCCAAAGTTACTGAAGGGGGGATGGTGGCCTGGTTAAATTTACACCAGTTTGATAGTCAAGTCTAATGCAGGTATTCAGGAGAATTCCAGGTGAGGCATACACATCTCCTCAAACTGCTGTTTTTCTGTTTCAGATTCCATGGTGCAAAACTTCAGCATGTGGCGTGACTTTAAAGCGAAACAACAAAATAGACTGAGAGATTATGAATTGGAAAATTATGTCGTTTTGGTTCACAACACAGAGACGGTGGCAATTTTGGGATTGTGTAGAATATGCACTCCTTTTTAAAATGATTGTTGCACAGCTTGCATGTGGATCAGGACATGCATGCAATTACATGGGCAAAAAGTAGATGTAATTGGGCATGCACCTAAACAGGAAAATACATGTGTAAGGTAGAATCTGACTAATAAGTAAAAAATCTTTTGCTTGCTGAATCTGTATTCCTTTTCTAGCTAAAGGAGATGGTAGTCCATTTTGTGATGTTCACAGTCTGCTTAGGTTTGTAGCAGTGTCTTGTTGTTACTCTTGCTTGAGATGCCTCTGTGAAATGGGAGGAGTGTGTGTCTGAAGCCTGCTTGCTTAAACACGCGAGTCATGTCAGCTGCAATGCGGCAGTGCTTGGTGCTAATGAGGTGAGCAGCCAGAGCACCCGTCTGCTTATGTTTGCTCATCTCTGTGCAATTATGGCTGTGGGGATTGGAAAAAGGGATTTGAATTGGATGTGCCTCTGTTTTGGCCTTTCCAGAGTGTGGTTCTGTGTCCTCCTGAGGACTGGGCAGCATATATCTACTTCCTTTTTGGGAGTTAGGTGGTTGCTTCATTTTATTTAAGGCAAGCTCTAAATACATCCTGGTTGGGAGAAGAAAAGAAAAAGGGGAAGTAGAGAGAGGGGGACACCCTCCCTTCTTCCCCCCACCCTCCATCTCTCACAATTCAAATGCACTTTCAAATGAAATATATTCCTTGGGAATCTGTGTCTTCAAGTTGAATACATACAAGTCTGTATTTGTAAAGTAACATCTTTGGAATAGAGTAATCAGATTAATCAATTAATTTTGGCTAGATCTCAGTAGTTACAGCTGGCCTTTGGTAGGCACAGAAATGCAGATGCACTGTGATTTCTCAGCCCACCTGCTTTCTCTTTTTTAACCGTTAAAGTGCTGACTACAGTGTGAGCTCTGTATTTGATGCTGAAGTCATAAAGTTCTACTTCGAACATAAAGCGAGTAATGTGAATATCAAATCCTATTTGTCTTTTCCCATCCTCCTATGCCAGACTGTCTTCATTGAGCTTGATGCCTCCCGTCCAATCCTGTCGTATTCCTATTCCTGCAGCCTGTCTTTCAGTGTTTCTTTTTCAGAGAATTAGTCTGTAAAACTGTAGATCATGATTAATATCATGACTTACATCATTGGTCTTGGTGGCAAAGCTGGCTTTCCTTCTAGTTCCTGCCTTTATGTCACAGGGTGCTTCCCTGTTAGCTGATAAAGTTATTTTGAATACTTATAAATCACGTTGTTGAAATTACCTGTGTTAAAAATACTGCTGGTTTTTTGTGTTTTTTTAAGGCTCGTATCTAATCTCTGTTACTTTGGCAATATGTTGTGTAATGTTATACCACAAACAGAGGGATCAATACAGCTGGGACTGGGAAAGGTATGAACTGCATCATGTAGGCAAGAACCAGTGGTGGGAGACAGGAACCTCCTGAGCTGTTAATACAGCTGATGTGAATGTAGTGTAGAGCTAACACCCATAGAAAGGATGGCATGTCAACCTAGAAAAAGTGTCCTTCACCCTGGAAAGAAGCCCAAGATTGTGTGCCTTAAATAAAGTCTTGTTTTTGCTTAGTCCTACCTTTAAGTGGGTTAAGAGTGACATGTATGAAACAGCACAACTGTCAAGATGGATAGTAGGGAGAGTTGCTCTGTTTCAACACTCACTGTTGAAGTCTAGTATCTGTGTTGTGATCACAGATAGTGCAGTATTTCTTTGCCTGTTTACCTTTTGCTGATGGGATGGTAAAAAACTGGGATGTTTTTCTCTTCCGTCTTTAGGTCTCCGGGTGAAAGGGGAACTCGTTACTTCTTACCCACAAGTGGTGGTTGTGCGTGTGCCAACACCTTGGGTCCAGAGTGACAGCGATATCACAGTCCTTCGCCACCTAGAGAAGATGGGCTGTCGATTGATGAATCGTCCCCAAGCCATCCTCAACTGTGTCAACAAGTTCTGGACGTTTCAAGAACTTGCTGGTCATGGTGTGCCTCTTCCAGACACTTTTTCATATGGTAAGGCTTTTGGATCAAAAGGATAGCATAGTTGCCTACCACTATTTACGCTTTTGCAGTGCAAAGGATGTGAGTCAAGTTTTGGAAATTCATAGAAATTCGGTAGCATGAGGCTGGTTGCACAGCTAAGTGCTCAGTGACCAGGAGAGGAAATTAAAGTCGCGACACTCAGGTTCTGGTTTTGGCTTTGTTTATTAGCTGGTAATGCTTTGAGAAGAGTACTTTAACTGTACCTCAGCCTTCTAAGCAACTAACTTTGGCTGTTACTGCTAAAACATTTTTAACTCTTTTCCAATTACCAGAAACAACAGACAAGAACTTGGGGAACTAAATGTGCTAAGATACTACAGAGATCTAGCCTTTGTTAGAATTTGAAAATAGATTAAACTTCTATATGAATAAAAGTATCTGCAAATATATTAGCTTTTGTGGAAGGACAAAAAGAGTACAAGCCATTGTGTTCAGCTTTTAACAGTTGTTTGGGGTTTGTTTCCCATCAAAACAGATAATTATTGTTTCTTGTGCCTGCCTCTGGAGTCTGGTTCCTGACAGAGTGCTAGATTAGAGGAACCATTTGTCTGAGCTACCCTGAAGCTCCTAATTACAATCTGTTAAAGAACTGAAGATACCTCTCAACCTTCCTTTCTTTCTTGAGAAATGCTAGTGCTTTCCTCCCCTTTGTGTTGTTGCACCAATAGGCTTCCGTAATGGGAACTTGGCAAAAACAGAAACAAACTTGACGAACAAAACCCATGGTTTTCTATTAATTACTGTAAATTACTATTTCCATCACTTACTGTGAAAACACATCAGAGAAGAAACACACCGTTTCTTTATACATGTGGTTGCTCTAACTCATTCAGGAAGGAATGAGTTTTTAATTTTTTGGGGGGAAGGGAAGACCATGAATGATGGGATAATTGCAGAACATATCTGTTTGTTCATAACTCTCTGCCACTACTTTTAATGCCTGCCTCTGGAATTTGACAGAAGCATGACCTTTTTTTTTTTCTATTATTTTTTCTAAACTGCAAGTATCAAGTTATCAGTGAGAGCTGGCTTTGCCAAGTAAAGCAGGATGTGCTGAATGACATGTTATTCCATGGCATGCATTAAAATCCATGGTAGGGTAGTGATGGCTGCTGCTGGCTTTGTGACCAGTGTCTTGGCTTGACTTCTGCGCTTTACTGCACATGCTGTTAGAGGGGGCTCATCCCTTTGTCTCCTGACTTTCTCTTCTGTATTTCTTGTACTTGGTCAGCTTTCTGTGAATTGAATTCAAAGAACCTTGGAGTATCAACCATAATCGTGTGAATGGCCATTAAAAGCTACTCTCTAAGGTCCTTACAGATGCAGTGAGATTAAAAGGTTTAAGTACTACATTAGGATATAGGGAAAATGAGATACAGGACACTTGAGCCTTGGAAAGGGGGGAGGTGGAGTGACAAAGTATTGGTTGTTGCTGCTCTCTGGATTATGCCTTGTCATTGTATTCCATGTTGCTTTCCTGGTTAGTAGTTTGGATGGAACTGTTACTAGTGTTGTGTCTCTGCTGTTTTCCTTTTAGACACTTGAAAAGGTGGGAGTTAGAGTAAAAAGGGTAAACTTGAACAAGATGATAGAGTCTGGTCATTCAGATTTGGAAAATTAGATTGAGCCTTTTGCAATTGTGATCAAGAGGCCTTTGTCAACTTGTGTCTTCAATTTCAAAGGAAGTAGGAGTTAGTATCCCACAGATCACAAACACCTTCAAAGTCTGACCATGCTCCATGACCAAGTTTCTCTTAACTGGTATTTTTAACGCATTATCTAAGCTGTAAGGGTGGGAGGAAGGTATGCCGATTACATCCCCAATTAGGCCACACCAGACTGGTGGCACATAATGTTGTTGGTTTTCTTTTTGCCAGGTGGTCATGAGAATTTTTCCAAAATGATTGATGAGGCGGAAGTGCTGGAGTTCCCTATGGTGGTGAAGAACACGCGGGGTCATCGAGGTGGGTGTGAGGTCAGGGGTGAGGCCAAGGAATATTCTGAGCAGCACTCTAAGATTTGGTCTCATCAAGGAATGATAGTTAAGAAGGTCTTCTGTTAGGTGCTGGACTTCTTTCCAGTACATATAAATTTTATCCCGCTTCGACTTCTGAATGTTGAATAGACTGCAACACTGGGAAACAGTTTTAGTAGAGCCTAGTCTTGCAGTAGTGTGGGGGGAAAGGGGTTCAAACTTATGGTGCATTGGTGACTTCTGTGAGGAAGGCTTTGAACTGGAATAATGGGAGGTTGGGCCTTAGGAAAATAAAGAGAAGTCTACATGGATTTTAGGGATGCTTTTAAATAGGCTTAAGAAATGAAATCTCAGTTCATTCAGTGACTTTTTTTCTACTTGACTTTGGCTGTAATTAGGATTCAAATTTGAATAAAATCTGACATATTGTTTGTTGAACTGGATCTCTGTTTTTCTGAAAAATACCTCTGACAGTGCCAGTGGTATTACAGCAGGTTCAGATTAAATTTTTTCTGTTATTAGTCTTTTGTTTTAAGTATTGGATATGAAACAACACATTAACTTAATTTAGTGTTAGATAGCAATCTACTAAAGGAAACTGGGTATAAATCAATTTCAGAGGTTATTTGCACAGGAGGTTGCTCTGTTCTTAATATACTTTAAAACCAATTTAAAAAATACTAGAAATATAAACAGACTAAAAATGAAGTTTGAGCACATAAACCAGCAATTGCTTTAAGCAAAATCATAACTAAAAGACAACACTTCTTCCTTCTTATTGTGTGTCAGTGTGCTGCCACTCTATGCTGCTCTGGTGCATCTCTTCTGCTGGCTTGAGTGCTTCTGTAGCCATGTAGTAAAAGGAATCAGGAACGGATGCTGGATGAATCTAGATGGGTTATTTTTACTTAGATTAATTCCTTACTTGACTTAGCACTTACTGACACAAATGCTTGTCTTGATGTAATGGAAGAGTGAGAACAAAATGCTGGGGCTGGGGAAGATGAGACCTGCTTCTCTTGGTGGTAACACCACTTTGGTTTTAAAGTATGTGTGGAGCTATAAAGCCAAGTTGGAGTTTGATTTTGCAGCAAGCTGAATTTCACAACTGTGGAATATCTGAGACAGTGGATTTGACTTGACACTGCCTCTAGTTAAGATCTGCTAAATAATGATAGTTACAGCTCTTGACTTCCTTCTCCCTTTTTTAACTAGGATACATGTAAATCTGTTTTGCTTTTAGAGCACTTTAAATTCCAGGCATTCTAATGCAGATTTATGCACAGTACATATCCTTTCACATTAAGAGAGTTGGGGAAACTTTTTCACATTAATTGAAGAACAGCCATTTAGAAATGGCATTTAAAATAAACAGGCAAACATGGTCATAGGTACTGTCAGATGAATAAAAGTAGTTTTAGCTGTGTTTTCTGTGTAATTTGCTGCTGCAGCAAATGTACCAATCTTATTTTTGCCAAGACGTTGTGATGCTGCATAATTCCCAAGAACTACGGAGTTTCCCTCCTTGGCATCATTCTTCCTATTTAATTTCAAGAATGCAGTAGGATTATTAAGTGCCTGTAGGAGACATAAAGTCTGGAATAGGAGAAAGGAGGAAGAGAAAGCACATGGAGGTTTTTGCTGTCTTGTCATGATTTTTAAGCTTACATTCTCATTTCTCTGTAATGAGAAATTCTGTGTTCCTCAAGCAACGTTCTGTGTTATGGAGACCTTAAATCCTGACTAAAGAGGCTGCCCCAGTTGGGCTTTGGAGCACTTGGTGGAATTCTTTACATGTTATTTCTCCTCCTTGTGCTACTGCTGCATTTCTGTCGCCTTATTTAAGATAGGCAGTTTATCAATTTATTTTTGTACTCTGTTAACATTGTAACATAATTTGAACGACATTCTGCGACAAGAACTGTGCAGCCCTATTGCAAAACATAAGTCTAATATGACATAGAAAGAGCCCTTAGGAAATGGGAAAAGGAGTTGGGAAATGTAGCTTAAGGTGGGAAGGAATGCAGCCTTTTAAGACTAGAAATGAGGTGGAAATTGGTAGAATCTGTTTCAGAAGTGACTTTCATCAGTATTGGTAAAATTGGGAAAGAACAAAGAAGTCTTTGGTGTGCTCTAGAAGGGAAGGGGAATGAATTGGCATATTTTAGTTTAAAAATTCCAAGTCCTAGAGGTGTTGCTTGCAGAAAAGCTAATGATTTCTAAAGAGTTTTTTGGTTTTTTTTTTTTTAATTGTAGTGTATTCCATTCATTTCATGTCTTGTGGAATCTGGTAAATTATCTTGGATACTGTAGAGTCTAGTATTTTCCTCTGAATGTAGTTGTTCCACTGCAAAACCTCATTCTGGAGTTGTAAGCCCTTGTAGGTAATGGGAAGAGCAGCATTCAGCAACTTCCCAACAGGGAAATGGTTGATTATGCAGTGGCACACTTGTGACTTCAGAGTTTTTAGTTGCCCAGTATTTAACAGTTTCATGTCGTTGGTTCCTGTGTGTCAAAGCTGTAGGTTGTGGGTCCAGTCCTCTTGGATGAATAAAATTGTTATTAATTAAATGTCTACTGCTCTTTAAATATTTCTTCCCTTTTTTCTCTCACTAAGGACTTGTACCAAAAGGAGTTGAAATTGCAAGACCACCTTCTTTATCTACAAGTTTTTCTTTTTTCTTTCTTTCCTTTTTTTTTTCTTTTTTTTTTTTTAAACTCCTCACATGTCTCCTCAGTTCTGTCAGCAGCACTTGAACACTTAAAAGCGCTGCATCAGTGGAACACTGTTGTCCATGGCAGAATTTGTAAATGGGTATATGGATGGGGCCTGTGAGAACAGGCAATATGCTGGTCAGAGGTTTTATTTTCATGTGCTGAATCACTGATGCAGCTCAAATGGGTAGCTGTTTTCAGTCTTCTGATGTTCTTTTTCTCCATACAGGTAAAGCTGTGTTCCTGGCACGAGACAAGCACCATTTGGCCGACCTAAGCCATTTGATTCGTCATGATGCCCCTTACTTATTTCAAAAATACGTTAAAGAGTCCCATGGCAAGGATGTACGTGTCATCGTAGTAGGAGGTCGTGTGGTGGGCACCATGCTCCGCTGCTCAACAGATGGGAGGATGCAGAGTAACTGCTCACTTGGTAGGAAAAGCATTGTTCATAGTTTTGGTCAGAATTTTTCAATCCAGCTGAAAAATCACAAAGCCAACTGAAATAAGCTGCAGGTTTTATTTTGTATTAATTGTGTTTACTGCTGGGGGCTTATAGAGGGAACATAAGAGTAGGGATTAAGTAAGATGCCTGTTGAGCAGACACAGAGGGAGAGACATTCTCTGCCCACAGTATTAGATGGATAGGATGGATGAAAAGCAGGGGAAAGTTCTAGAACGCAAATGGAGCAACTGATGTGGTAGTGGCAGTTTCATGCTAATGCCATGTTATCATTTGTTCCATCCTGTTGAGAGGAACAGAAAAAGAAGGAAGACAGAAAGCGACACTTAAGGGAGGTGGAGGAGAGAGTTGGCAAGAGGGTAGAAGAGAATGTTAAGAGAGGAAACTGTTGAAGGCAATAAACAGTTGGATTGCATTGTGCATCTTCTGTGCTGCCTTAAGTCTGTCAAGTTCCCCTCTGTAACCGCTTCCTTCAAAGACCGTTATGTGGAAGGAAGAGGAGGTTACTGCATTGATTGTAGCATACTCAGAACTGAGACTGCATAGCTTTGGACACAGGGTTTATGAAGGTAAAAGGAGGAAGGAATGTTGAGGTTGCCTGACTAAAACTGTACTGAACCTGAGCAGGGATGGGATAAAATATGTTCATGTGTAGTACAGTTTTGGTTAGTCAAAATGCCTGAGAGGTTTTAGTTACTACCTGATGCTGAGGAAATGTAGCCTGAAAGATTTTTCTGCTAAATTTTTTTTCTGTTTGTTATTTTTTGGGTATTTTTCGAACTTAAGTATTGTGATAGATGAAGTCTGAGTCAGTTAATTCTTAGATGATGGACTGTTAACTGGACCAGCTGCGGTTCAGACACAAATGATCCCTAATTCTTGCTTTAAAGGCAGTAACCTGTGATAACAAGTTGAGAGGGGACATCATGAGTAGACGACGCCTTAACCCCCACTCCCCCCCAATTATATTTGTTAGAGCTGTAGTCTTATCAAGAGCTTGTGACAACTTACAAATATGTAGGGAAAGCCTCCACCTTAGAAGGAACAAGTGTGGTTTTTTAGTTCATTTTTTTTAATATCCTGGGATCATAAAAATGTGTGATACTTTTTCTGGACTAAAAAGTCATCACTTAACTGCTTTTTAAACAAGTCGTAATCTTGACCTGCTAAAGGCAGGTCAGAATATTTTGAAATCCTCATGTGGCTTCAAGTTCATTAGTAGTCACAGAGGAAAAGGAGGTTGATTTCTGAGTCATCAGCAGTCTGCTTGCAGGCTCACTTTGGAGCTTCCCAACAGAAAAGTGCTAACCAGCTGAGAAGGATGTCAGTCACCCATGACCAGAGTACAGACAGCAAGTTTTTTTCACTTTTTCCAGGTGGTGTAGGAATGATGTGCTCACTGAGTGAACAAGGCAAGCAGTTGGCAGTCCAAGTGTCAAACATCCTGGGGATGGATGTGTGCGGCATTGACCTGCTGATGAAGGACGACGGTTCATTCTACGTCTGCGAGGCCAATGCAAATGTAGGTTTCATTGCCTTTGACAAGGCTTGTAATTTAGATGTAGCTGGTATCATAGCGGACTATGCCGCTTCTCTGCTCACCCCCGGCCGCTTGACGCGGCGCATGTCCTTGCTCTCTGTGGTGTCCACGGCAAGCGAGACTAGCGAGCCAGAGCTGGGCCCTCCAGCTAGTGCCGCTGTCGACAATATGAGTGCTAGCTCCAGCTCTGTCGACAGCGACCCTGAGACCACGGAGAGAGAGTTGCTCACCAAGCTCCCGGGGGCTCTATTCAACATGAACCAGCTATTAGCCAATGAGATTAAACTCCTGGTGGAGTGATGCCACGTGTAAATAGATGACCAACAGAACTCTCTCTTGTAAATTTTTTTTTTAAGCCAACTTGCAATGCTGTTTATCAGAGACGCTCAGAGGAAATGAGGAAAGGGGGTGGGTGTGTCAGTCAAGAGAGCAAGAGTAAAAGGCACACGTGCTGTGATTGCTGTCCCTACCTTTTTGCAGAACATTAAATTGTCTTCATTCTTCAGCATCAGCTTTACAATAAAGATGTTCAGTTCATGACCAGGCAGCAGATTTATTTGAATGCTGCTTTGGTCCCCAGATATATTGCAGTTCATGTGTCTTCACAGGCAAGCATTGAAGCATGATTCACACTTGAAGATTTTCAGAAAGTTGTCTGGCAGCTCTCTAGAAACTTCTGTGAATTACTGCACCAATAAAGTCTCTTCTACCTCTGTAAGGCTTGATCCTGTAAATTGCTGAGTGCCTCAAATTCTTTATGTGAGTTGAAGGTGTTAGATACCAAGTATTTCAAAATTTCTGGACAGCCTACTGTTCCTACTCTTGTAGGTGGGAGCTGTAAGTTCAGGATCCTTTTAAAGTCATCACTTTCTGACCTTGCAGGACATGGCCTTTCAAATGATGAGGCTGAGAGAAGCGTCAGTTGACTTAACAAGAACTTTCTGTAAAAGTCTGTAAATTGTACCATCTTGGTATTAAGTGGCAGCTTTGTGTCTAAATTTCTTTATAAAGCTTTTGAAGGAGGCTATTAGTACTTGTGTTTTTCTCATTTCAAATCCTGATTTTTGAAGGTATCTAGGAGAATTAGTCATGTTCTATTTGTGGGCAGAAATGGCACGTTTTAACTATTTTTTGCATGGTTGGAGGAGATAAACAGCACTGTAATGTTTGGTATACAAAATGATGTTTAATCCAATGTGAAAATGAATTACACTAGTTTAAAGCAAACGTGCATCGACTTGTGTTTGTTAGTGTTTTAGTCTTTCTGAGAGAGATCTGCAATGTTAATGTTCCTTTTTCTTTAATACATGCTAGTCCAACACTTCCTTCTCTATGCCTGCATCTTTAACAGTGGCCAAAGTGAAAACACTGCAGATTGTTTGTTAAGAAAACACTGAGATATAGCCTGTACATTGTTGGGGTTTTGTTTGTTTGTTTTTATTTTTCGCTTTTTTTCGGAGGGAGGAATGTGGTAAGGCGTGGAGGAGGGAAGAGCTGGTTAAAAGTGATTAGTCGTTCAGAGGAACTTTAGAATAAAGCAGTTCACACAATATGTACCAGGCTTACTTTTTCCCCACTGAACATAAAAGCTGATGTTGGCAGAAATCCAAAGAGTTTAACTGGGGAGAAATACTCAGTTTGTAGCTTTGGGAAAAAAACGCGTTAGATTTAAAAAAAAAAAGAAAAAGAAGAGAGCTCAGCCAGAATTAAAAAAAAAAAAAAAGAAAAAAAGTATATAACCTAGGTCCACAATCAATCAAGAGTTTGATCCTGGACCCTTACATGTGTGTGATGTGAGTGCACACACTTGTGTGTGTTTGTGCGCGCGCGCATTTGTTTTGCTTGATTTCTTTTGAGGTTTTGGCTGTTTAGCCAATTTTTTTCCAGGCTTCGTGATTTTCCTTAATCCTTCTGGCTGTGCATTTTCTCATTAGCCTTGAGCTGGTTTGGAAAACAAATAACCAAAACAGATACTGAGCTCATTTTTCAGTCCTTGTCTTCCTCCTCCTTTTCCTCCTCCTTCTCCCTTTTCATTCCCCTCTCATTCTCTGGGTTCATAAAACCCTGGAGCTATAGATATATATATAAAGATAAGCCTCTTTTTTAAAAACATAAAGTAAAACGTTTACAATTGAAAAATAATCTTGTGAAAATAGGTTTTGTTTGGAGGGGGGTTGTGTGTGTGCAATGCTGCTGTTTTCTGGATACTTTAATGGAGCATGTCCCATGTACCCTCTGAGGTTCTGCACTGCCCACCTCTGTGGCCCTTCCTCACCTCTCTGCTGCTCTGCTGTTTTATCTTCACTTGGACCTTAAACACAACTCACGGACACTATGCAGAGAGTCTTCAAGAGGCAATAAACAGAACAGTATTAACCTGCTTTATGGAGGTTTGATCATGCTTCTTTGTACAGTTTGGTTTTTTTATTTTAAAAGGAATGTAATAAAATGGCTTTTTTTTTTTGTAGAATTAAATATTATTATTAAAATCAAGTGAAAGGTTGACTGTTGATGTTAAGCAGGAGAGTGGACCGGCTGGTCCAGCAAAAAAAGGATCTTCAGCAGTAAAGGTATTTTCAAATCCTTCCTGAGCCTTCAAGTGTGCAGGTTATACATGAAGAATGTAAAGGTCTTCAACTTCCATGAAGAGTTGCAGAACCACAGAACATGAAAGAAACCTAATTCTCTAGTAACTGAGCTCTAGTCACTGAGCAGTAAACTGTCTCTTCCAGACACTCTTTTTCCTTTACTTGTTTATCTAAGGGGAATTTTGGGTGGGGGTGGGGGTGTTTGTTCTTTTTTTTGTCTGTTTACTGGTAGGTGCCTGCACTCCTCTAGGGCCTGATAGGGTCAATCCTTCCCTTTCCAGCTGTGTCTTACACTGAGCACATGCGGAATAACAGCAGGGAGTAAACATGTGCTAGTTGATGTAATGGGACCTCTGTGTCTCTATCACAGGAAACATCTTTTAGAGAAAAGAGCTCGTAACTGAAGGTTCTGGACTGGGTTTTTTGAGTCTCCATAGTATTTTGTGGCTCACAGGAACCTTACATTTCTATCACGTTTTTAGAAAGTCCAGGTTACACCTCACAGTTGTAAAATGTGTGAAGTAAACATAAGATTTTTTGAAAGACCTCTGGTTGGTGCTCTCATTGCTAGTTTGGAGATAAGTCTGTGCATAGTGGTCACAGAGGGAGACAGGATTTGAAACATCATGTACATTTGCTTGGGCACTGGGTATTGATGCTGCATGAATACCTTGCTTGAGGGTTCATTGATACAAATGGGCACACTTGTCTCATGTATTTACTCCCTACTTACCTCCTGAAATAGTGAAATGCATAGAACTGCCTGGGGATGCAAGAGAAGTGTCTTGTTTTTACTTGAAGGAAAAAAACCACCAACAAATCTAGCCCATGGTAACCAGGCAGTGTTTCCCATTGAAGGTGAACTTTACAGATGTCAGCTTTATATCTTCTTCAGTTCCCTATGCTGAAAATCACATGCTAAACTTTCATACATTTGCACTAACACTACCTCCATATGTGGGTTTGGAAGCACGTGCTGAAAAAATGGTCAACGTAGTGGTGGTTACAATAGTGCCTGTACAGCTGATGGCGATACAACTATTTCTGTGTATTTTAATCTTTGAAAGAGCCAGCTAGAAACTCTTATTTGCAAGAATAAGTTTCTTAATCTACATGGGATCAAATGTTGTTCTTTGTAACACTGGAGATTTTCTTCTGTTGAACTTAATGTATTTATAATTAATATCTTACTATGTCATTGTATGGGTTGTATTTTAAGCCTTGTATTCAATGCTTTAATGTGTTTTATAAAACCTTTTCTTGTAATGTTAAAACATCTCATCTGTAAAACAATGTCAATGCTTGATGCTTATATTGACTGTTAATGTTTTCGTTCTGAGCTGATGGTCACTCTTGAAGCAATTTCTCCGCTTCATGTGCTATCTTTGACGTGTGATACTTACTCAGGAAATAATCTCTGGAACATCTGTGTATGTCAGACGCAAAGGAGATACTTCTTCGGGTGCTGTACAGGACTACAAAATCCAACAAATGAAACCAGTGACTTTTGCTAAATATTTTCTCCCCTTATTGCAAAAATCTGTCAGTTAAATACATAAGAGACCATAAGGGCCTAGAGAGACTTTGAAAGCAGATCACATGCACAGTATCTTTCTCATGGCTCACTCTTTTTGAGAAGGTTTATGGGCTTTATGGCTGGTGTGAGACACACGACCCACTCCTGTTCTCTCTATGGAATAGTAGGTGCTCGGACAGGTAACTTCTGTTGCTACTGTCTTTTTTAATTTTTAATTTTTTCACTGCTCTAGGAATTGTTTTAAGCTGTACACTGCAGGATTAATAACCAGGTGTTTACTGCCTTTTCCTTTGTTTTATTTCTTTAAACCTTTCTTAACCTTTGAGAGTGACTTTTGGAGCATTCTGATGGTGGATCTTGGCCTGCTGTTAGAAGTCTTCAAACCTCTCATGTTTATAATTTGAGTTGAAAAGTTTTTGTTTTGTTTATTTGTTTAAAACAATGACACAAATTGGATTTGAGGATTTCGGGTGGGATTTGTTGTTGCTCTGTTTTGTGTGACTTATTCTACCTTTTTTTACAGAAATGTGTTCTAACAGTTCACACTTTGTTACTGTTCTTTGCAAAACTTTTCAGGAGCCAAAAAAGTCAAACAATCCAGAGAAAACCCCTTCTCCCCTTTCCGATGGCAAGAGTGAGAACTTATGAAAAATCCTTGAGAATGTTCCTTCCTAAACTTTTCCCCCCAGTAATGCAAGCGGGTAAAATGGTAAACGCAGCAGTTTGGTGACATCCAAAACCGACCTGTTGTCAGGTAAATTGAGACTTTTCTGCTCTTACTGTAACCTTCATAAATTTGCTAACTTGTCTGCCTTCCTTTCTTCCCATCAGTTCATTTTGGTGAAACTTGTTGAATGATTTCTTTAACCGTGATGTTTAGAGAAAATCCTCCTTTTCTTCCTCAGTTCCCCTCCTTATGCTTGTTGACCTTTAAAAAAACTGTCATTGTCCTTTGCTTTACTCAGGTAAGACAGAAGTGAGTCCCCTCATGCGACTGTGTGAGGAATAGTTTTGTAATACATTCATTCCACTTCTTTGTCAGTTCAAGGTAGTTTGCCTTCAAGTGTACTATTTTAGCTTAGATTTTTGAAAGGTATGTTGCTTTCCATTTGCCAAATGAACATAAAATATAACTGCATCAATTAGGAGTTGATAGATATGAAAAACTAGTGCTAAGAATGTTAAATCTATTAAAATTCAGTAGAGCAGGATCCGGTAAAGAGGACAGATGGAAGAATACGTGTGCTGAAGAAAAAGACTGTTGGGTTGATTATTTCTGTTTGTGGAGGATGGGGGGACATGTTTTATGTTGTCCATACTGCTATATCAAAGCACTTGTACATTTTATCCTTCTCTGGTAACTCAACTCCTTGAATCTCAAACCATGTAAAAGTGCTGGGTACTTAATATTCTTTTACTTCTTTTAAGGAGGATAATCTTGTATTTTACTCAGATGTAAATATCAGACAATTGGAATACCATTCCAAGTTGAAGAATATGAGCCTACAAACAGACTTCCAAGTTTCCAAATGCAGTTTTCTATTTCCCATGACATCTGTAAAGAATTAGCACTTGTTTCAGATTATTTTTCTGTGTATGCTAATAACTCCTCTATACCGTAATAAAAGTCTACTTTTCGTAGTCTCAATTTATATTTTCCTGATACACAGTAAATTTATCAGCAATACCATAAACTGCAGCTTCAAATTAAGGTGGGAGGGAATAATTTTAGAGCCAAATTTTGCTCTCAATTACACTGAGATAAACCTGGAATCACTCTGTGAAAGTCAGTGGAGTGATATCCAATTTCACTGGTATAATTGAGTGTATAATTTGTGTCTTTAATTTTACTTGCAAGATAATTTTACAAACCTGTTATACTTATGTTTCCAATGCTTTTTCCTTTCAGACACACCCACTTCTTGCGTCTCAGCACTGGGCAGGCCTATTCCTTTATTTGTGTATATTTTTGTGCATCAACTGCTATAGGACACGGGTGTAACACTTTCAGGCATGTGGTTGGGTGTCTTTTTGGGGTTTGTAATAATGTCTAAAAATAAGAATTTCTTTTCCTCAAATTTATTAATGAATTCATGTTGGATCACAGTTTTGCATCTCTAACCTCATTTTAGATACATATTAAGTAGAGACTGTCTTGAAAGAGATACAGTACTAGTTCTTTGCAGTGTCTGCAATTGATCTTTGCTGGGGAGAGTTGATAAAAATATACTGCATTCTGCAGAAAGTAATGTTTCAGTATTTAATGTTGCTGGAAAGGTGGTTTTACAGATCATGCTCCTTCCTCTTCATGGAATGGCTTTCAAAGCCTTGTATTGATCTTGGTTTTGCCCAGTGCTTTGCCTAGTGTATGGGGAAATGTTGTAGAACTTGAATAGGCCATGACATCTTAGACAAAGGATGATGATTATGTGCATGCTGAACACGAACTTCTTCTATATGCCCTTCTGCTGCAACAGAATAATAAAACTGGTAGGTGGCAGCAGCAGCAGCAGAAGAAACTCATGACTGGGACCTGAGAAACCTCCAGTACTGGGAGAAATGGATTG